GCTGAATAAGTAGATGGATAGACGAAAGGGACACCTATTCTGTATCTTCCATTTGCAACTATCATGGTGTTGCCAGATTTACCAAATAAAGATATAGAAAGCACAAATAGTATGGAGGCTCTTCAAAAAACTGAAAATAGAATAATGCTGAGATCAGGCATTCCCACTACTGGATATATAGCCAAAGGACACCAAATCATTATATCTAGGAAATACCTGAACTTCCCTGTTTAATAGCCAAGATATGAAATCAACCAAACTGACCACTTATAGGTAAATGGATTTTTATAAATATGGTATATATGCACAAAGTAATATTATTTAAAGGAAAATTTAAAGGAAAAAATCCTGTTATTTATGGCAACATGGATGGAATGGGACGATATAATATTAAATGAAATAAATCAGGCATGGAAAAACAAACACCACATGTTCTCACTCATTTGTACAAGTTAAAAAAGTTGGTCACTTAGAAGTAGAGAGTAGGATAGAGGTTCCTAAGAGGATTGGAAGGGGTAGGGAAAGAGAGCAGTGAGAAGCTGGATAATGTGAATGAAAACACAGTAGGGGGATTGAAGTAGGTTTAATGTTATGTAGCACAATAGGGCAACTATAGACAATAACATTTAGTTATACATTTCAAAGTAACTAGATAAAAGCTTTGTTTCCAACACATAGAAGTGGTAATATTTGAGGAGAAGAAAATGTTAATTATTCTGATTTGTTCATTACAAATTGTATACATGTGTCAAATTATAATACCGTACCCCATAAATAAATGTGTGTATGTAAAGTGTGCAATGCAGACACACACATGACACAAATATGACACACATTTGTATTTGAAATTCAGGTAAATTACAAATGGTCTTTTAGTATTATGAGTAGGTCCCAAATACTGCATGGTAAAAAAATGTAAAAAAATGTTTTTTTTAAGTATTTTTAATTTATCTGAAATTTAAATTTTACTCAACATTCTTTAATTCACCTGACAAACCTAATTCAGCAAAAAAGTGAATCAGTGCTCAAAGTAGACAGCTTTGAAGCTTGTGCTGAACTTGACATTACTGGCTGGAATTTTTCACAAACTTTGTCTTAAATCTCTGAAACCCAATATGTAAATAGCTGCATACTCAGATGCACTGGCCTTCCCAAAACGCTCTGCTGTGTCATGGCATACATGATTTCTACTAGAGAATGAACTTTTTTTCTTTTTTTTTTTTTTTGCTTGTCAAGGAGATTTAATCTATGTGTTTGTTTAATGTGGAGAAATGAGCAGAGCTCATCTGTGAGTCAGCTGGTGGATTCCCTATACTATGCTGGTCTGCTGTTGTTGCTGGATAGTGGTTGTAGAGCAGTTGAAAGAGAGTGTAAAATTTACCCTTGGTGTTTGGGATGAATGTAGGAAGTACAATGTGTCCCTTCTTTAAAACCTATAAAACCTTGCTTCTCAGGCCGAGATACTTGGGAACATGTGTACTGGGACTGAGCGGGGCTTGGAGAAGGACTCCATACTGTCTCCAGTATAAATGAGGCTGTTTACTTAGCACGTTCCCTATTAAAATATCTGATGATTCAAGTATTATTTTGATTGGAGAATATTTTCCCCTTGAATTAGAACCCTAATCATTAATAGTTTTTAGAGTGTGAAAGAGTATATTGCTCCATGACTGGAATCAGAATTGAAATGTGGCGTATTTCATCTCTTACACTCTTTCTTCTTTCTTCATTATGCCAACATTGATAATTATAGAAATTCCACAGCTAGGGACATTTAGGCAGAACTGTAGCTGTTTATTCCTTAGGAGTTAGACATGACTTCTTAGAAAAAGCTGAATTCTAATGACAGAAAGATTGACCAAGAAAACCGTCATGAAGCATTTTTGTGGCCTTGGTATCATGATCTTGTCAGTAAAGCGATGGTCTCTGATTAAATCCAGATTGAGCTGTTTCCTGTTAGCGTGCTAACCCACAGGGCAGGCTCAGCCCTCCATGTCTCGCTTTCTAAGTCTAAGTTATTAAAAACTTGTCTGCCAAGGGTTCCGCCCCTTTTCTTTTAAACTCCAATTCAGAGTTATTAAGAGAATACAAACAAAAACAGGTCCTGAAGTCTCTTAAAAGGATCATAGACCTATTGAATATTTTGCTGCAAAAACGGAACTTTAACATTTTAGTTTCTCCAGTCTGGCTATAGAACATAGGGTGTGTGTGTGTGTGTGTGTGTGTGTGTGTGTGTGTGAGAGAGAGAGAGAGAGAGAGAGAGAGAGAGAGAGAGAGAGAGTTATTTCTGTATAGTTTCATTTCAGAATAATTCTAGTAGTAAGCAGATAATTTTAAGTTATTGTTTTATAAAAATATACTCTAAGTGCTGGTAAATTAAAAGTCATCTTGGAAAACCTGGTCTTATAGCAAGTAGACATTAGGGTACCAAGCAAATCTATAGAAAATGACATTAAGCAAATGCTCTGATACCTTAACATGCATTGTTAGTTTTTTGTGAAAATGATTTTAGGCACCAGAGCAATTCTGTATATTACTTTATGGTATTGTCATTGATGCTCATTCATTATACTCAGATAATGATTTTTAAAATATAAATATTAAAAGTGTTTTCTTTTGGGTCAAATGTGGCTCTTCCTAATGTACAGATACAAATACTGAGGAACAAAAATCACTAAAGGGAACAAGGGGAATCAGGATTGCATATTGTAAAAAATTTTTTTCCAGAGTTAAAAAAGGGCTGAAAGGAAGAGACTGGGTTAATGAGAAACATAATTCCATTCCCAAGGGAGAGCCTTGGCTTCCCACCAAATCCGCTTTCTGGCAGGAAAAGGGACCCACTTCATCAGGTCCTTTGACAGGCATTTTTCTCTGTGTTTGAGTTTTTGGCCACATCCATTCTTAGTGAAAAATTAGTTCTTTCAAATAGTCATTACTTTCAATAAGAAATATTTAGTCTTAAAGAAGAGTTGCATTTTAAGTAAAATAAGAATCATCAAATTACAGAATTTTTTGGTGAAGGAACTCTGCTGTTGTCACAAGGTAAGCTAAAGATAAAAAATAAAGACATTATAAAATATAATTTTTTTCTTTTTTTAAATTGAGAAGTGGTAAATATGAATTAGGTTTTAAAGGCATCATTTTCTAAAGTATGTTCATCTCAAAGTTCTGCAAGATGCTCTGAGAATAAAGGGAAATCCATTTGGAAACATCATCTACCAGTCCCTCTCTTGAGTTTAATAACACATGTCGACATAATAAAGACTTTAAGAAATTCTGCAGTAAAGACATGTCTTTGACTTGATTGAACTCTATCATCTCCAAACTTGACCGCARGACCTTCTTTTTTGGGAACTAGAGTTTTACAGCACACACTTAAAGCAACACTGCACCAAATAATTAAAAATTTAATTAGAGTTTGAAACCGTATATCTTTTTCACTTATTGCTTCTGGTTTAAGTTAACTGGAGCTTCTGGGGAACAGATGGACACTACTAGGATTCTTCTAAAACTAGTATAGAGTGATAAAGAACAGTTATTAGTCCTTGATTTAAGTCAGCAGTCCAGGAAGTCTAAAGAAACATTTGGTATTGTCCTGAACCAGATCCCTCTTAGAAAACTTTAAAAAATTAAGTGAAAAAATAAAGCCATCCACCTCATAAGCTAGAGTTTTGGTATTAATGCCTAGTTAGACATGATGACATTAAGCTATTCTAACCCCCTCTGAAAGCAGTTGCCACCAGTTAGATCTTTCTGGAAGCTAACCCTTGGTTTACTTCCTTCCAGGAGTTTAACTTCTGGCAGGTCAGGTAAAGAAAAAGAAAACATGTTCCTTTCTTATCAGAGGTACCATCGTTAGGCATTCATTTCTCTTTTTGCCCTTTCTCTTTAATTTTTACTTGTCTGATTATTGCAATTTAGGAAAATCTGCTACAAAGCAATTCAACTTATGATTCAGATAAGCTTGCCATTGTTCACATCACTTAGGATAATTATTTGCTTTAGAAAAAGATTCACTACTGAACTCCTCTTGATAAGGCAGAATCCTTAGTGCCTATGAAGGACAAATTAAACTGTAAATTGTGTGTCTATGTAATTTGCTAGATTTATTGTAGAATGCAAAGTGAACCTACATTTATTTCAATTTAATTAGCTTCCTTTATATGCAGTTTTTAAGCTTTCATATTTTATCATCAAATAACATATAATGGTTTATGTGTACCAATCTTTTTTATAGATTCATTCCTACATGATAGCTACTTCTCATAGGTAAATGTTTTCAAAAGTTTTCAGAGGGCAAGGCCTATGCATCCCCCTAAACTTTCCATCACCACTGCTTCCCCAAGATGAGCCACGACTTGGCCGACCCTTACTAATTGCCAGTGATATTGAATCAGAGCATATGTATGTTGCCTTCTGTGGACTGAAGAACGTGAGATCATGGTCAGATCTCCATAGATTTCCATGAAAACCTACTCCTACCGTGGCTGATTATTTTTTAAAGCTATCAACATGATGTCAACTGGCTCACACAAATTCTAAAAATTTAACAATCAGCTCTTCAGAACCATTTGTGAGTTGACTCTGGCACACCACTGTAGGAGCTGTCTTTAAGAATGAGTTTGAAAACTCACCTTGGATCAATATAAAAGGGAATGATTGATAGCATTTGTTAAACTCAATCCTAGGATCATAGAAAGCATCTTTGATAAAATATACCAGAACCTAGTTCTTGATAGGGGAGAAAGTAAAAGCAAACAACCACTATGATGTAATTACTTGTACATCTACAGAAGAAGGGATCCCACACACACTCACCCTCCACCCTCATCATTACCTGTCCCTGCCCCCATACCACTACCCGAGAGAGTGTCATCTTATGTGATGTCTGGAAGTTAAAGAAGAACAAGGAGAAAGGACAAACTGTGGCTTTAACCGTTTCAATGTTTTTGGTTTTACCTTAGGGAGTCATTTCACCTGATGGTAATTTATTTATACAGGTTGAAGGGGACCAGCTGCCTCCAGGACACACAGTCAGTCAGTATGAGACTTGTAAGATCAGGACCATTAAAGCTGGCACCTTGGAGAAGCTTGTGGAGAACCTGCTGACAGCTTTTGGGGACAATGACTTTACCTATATCAGCATCTTCCTGTCAACGTACAGAGGCTTTGCCTCCACGAAAGAAGTGTTGGAACTGCTACTGGACAGGTGAGGACCCATGGGGTGTGGGAGCTGCTGGAGGAATAGGAGCTGCTGGAAGTGTAGGGCTGCAGCAGAGAGGGGGCTGTGAAGAAGGGTCCATTGTAAGGGATGACCTTTGGAGCAAATGGCATGATGATGATTAGGTGCCATTTACATGATCTATTTTCCATAAATCTAGGTTCAGTTGTTTATAGAATCCAGTTACCATTCACCATCCTCAATTTCTAATTTGACAGAAATTAGTTTTTAGTTTTTGTATAATTCTAATAAATAATCAATTGGCCATGAATCTTATTGCTTTGAGGAATAAATGTGCTTAAATGTATAAAGTATGAAGCTCAGTCTGAGACCCACAGGAAGCAGCTGGTGAGTAGTGGCTGTGAGAATGATGATAATAACTCTTCATAGTCACCGTGTATTAGCTGCTTCCTGGGTGTGCGCATAAATATCCTCCACCCGTGCTGTTAAGACACACGTGTGATACAGCAGTGTATGTTGTAACTGACACATGGATAATCTTGATATTCTCCCCATTTTTGTTTTAATTATAACTAAATTTAGTAATTAAATAAAAGCATTAAATTGACTTGATACTGGGAGGAAGAAAACTATCAGCCAAACAATTGTTATAGAATCACRAGAATCCTCATTCAGATCTTTATATTCTGGGGTTTCCTGCCCAGGAAGGAAATGAGATAGGGTGTTTTTGTTGGGGCTTGTTGAATATTGATATTTGTTAACTAGAATTTTTATTTTAAAATTAACTTGTATTACTATTGAAGATGTTAAAAATTCTTATACTATAGAAGGTTATAAAAAGAAATATTAAAATGTTCTCATATTTCTTCTTTTATCCCAAATAACATTGGTTAGGTTTTTAAAAAAAATTTGCATTAGTAGAAAGAAGAATATTAGAACATAATCTAACTAGGCAGATAATGTACATTAACAGTTTAAAAATAGAAGTAATCCATGTATATGATGAAAAGTTCAAACAATTCAGAAAAAACAATAAAAATAAAAGGTAAAAAATTTTCTTTAAGTTTCCTAGTTTCATCTCTCCATAGTAATCACTGTAAACCATTTCTTTTGCATTCTTTGAAGGTTTTTCTGGTTATATATATATATATATATTCACTCTCATATACAGTATACTTATATATGATACAGATAGAATCATAGCTGTTCACCCTAAATAATGGACATGCACACAGGAACCAGAGTGTTTAGTCTTGACTTGTGGACCCCCAGCCTTTAATTGATGATTCAAAAAATCTTTTCTTTGTTCTCCTCTTACAGTTTATGGACTTTTTTTTTTAATTTTTAAAGACTAACTGGGTGACAGTTGTTAAAGAACAGAATCAAGATGAATTCAGAGTGCATTTAATTCAAGCTATCATTTAAGGAATAATGAACTGGACAATTAAGATTTATTTTGTATTATTTGAATGGGCCAAAACTTGGCTTTGAATTTAATCTCATAGTTAAATCCTTTATTTGCTTCTGAAGTGGGTAAAATCAACAATTACCTATGTCTGGAATACCCAGCACTCTGCAAGACACCATGTGGAGGGAACTCAGAAATATAAGACATGGTTTTTGCCCTGAGGTAGTTCAGATGTGGACTTACTGTGAAGCTGTGGGTATTTAACTTTYAGGGCCCCTCATTTGTAGTACCCTCTGAATAATTTTCTGTTCTTAATTTTATATTCTTTTTCTTTAAAAGAATCCTTCAAATTATATATGCTAATCCCATTAAAATCTGGATCCACCCTTCCTCAGTACCAAATATTTTACTGTGAGAGATAAGGCTCGCACTCATAGAACAAGTAGTTAACCACTGACCATGGTGTAAAAAAAGCCGTAACATGTTCTACAGATGAAACAAGGTATCGAAATTCAGAGAAATAAATTACATTTATTTTGCTTTCTCTGCAGAAATTTAGATTTGTCCATATATGTCCAAACCTCAACATGAATATTTCTTCCTCACTCCATTTTCCACTCATGCTTAGATCTTGTGTCCAAGCTTCAGTCTTGATTGAATTGATCTAAAATGCATTCTATGAAACACTGTTCCTAAACTTCTTGTGGGACTTTTAATGTCTATAATCAGGAGTAAGTAATTATATTATACAATCTTGCCTATTCTGAAAATAAGCATTTGAAATATTATTTCATGTCAATAGATTGTGGTAGACTTATTTGTGGGTCTTTGACACAATTTTTAAAAGTTCTTTCTTTTGGTTTCCTAATAGTACATTGCTTGCCTTCTGTGAAATTAATACTGAGAAGTTATGACAGCATGTGCTAATCCTGTAATAATCAGTCAACAGTAGATTGAGGACAGGAACTGCAGGATTCATTTCCCACCAGAGAACAGCTTATTTGAAGTCAAACTTTAATTTCCCTTAAGACTTCCAATAGTTGCTTTTTTGTATGGAACTGTTTGCTTTCTGGGGTTTCTTTTTTTTTATCTTTTTATAGTTTTTCATTCGGCTAATATGAGCCTTTGTGATTGACCAATAGGCAGTGGTTTGAAGTCATGTAGGGCTAATTCTGTATGTTTACTTTGTCCCTTCCTTGGGGTGCTCAGCATTTCACAAGGGTCCTCTCTGCTGTGCTTCTCACCATGGCTCAGAGTTAATTCTAGGTCACATTGACTTCCTTTTAGCCCAAGAGAAAGTTATTGAATCATAGGTTAGCTGTTTGTATTGGGGCTTGGAGAGTTTATTTTCTCTAACTTCAAACATAAACTCCATTATTCTGTTCTTCCCACTGTGCCATTTAAAAAAGTGAAGGAAGGAGTTAGACACCACTGAAAACACGCAGCCTCAAATGTAGGCAGAATCCTACTTCAGCTAGTGATCCTCACTAAGAACCAAGAAGCATCTATGTGGACATCTAGACCTTTCTTCAGGTGGCTGTCTCAATAGCTAATTAAAGTTACCTATTTCTCTAACAGTCTCTCTCTGATACTAAAGTCAGTAGAAGGCCATCAGTCAGAGTAGGGTGGACCAGGTCTCCAGCTACCTTGTCCAAGCTACTTACAGCACTCAGGCTGCAGTGTAGAAAGAACCCAAGTAACAGTCTGAATTACCCCTTTCAAGCAAATTCTCCCCATGGTAGACTCTTGGGACTGTTGAAGGTGGGAGCCAGCTGTAAACCTATGCTTTAATACTGTAATCTAAGGTGAATTTGCTCATCTGTGTCCCAGAAGAGCTAATTCAGTAGGTCTTTGAACAGGCTCTCCTGCCTAGTTTGCTTGTCGTGCTTTCACAGGTTTACCTTATGTAGTTCACTCATTACAGGCTCCTGTTTACTGATGACAAGTGGTGGCCCAGGAACATTCAATCACTAAGTGGCAGAGCTGGAATGAAAACTTGCCCTTTTATGACTCAGAAGCTCTGTCCAAGTGTACCATCTCACCCCCATGGTTTGTGAAGGCCATTTTGAATGACTTGGGAACTCCTCGTAGTTATCTTTATCTTTGTTGCTACTTCCTCGATGGTAGCTGTACAAGATATATTGGGTATTTGGTGGTGGATGAGTCTCCATACTCCCTGTCCTCTTTATACCAAGTGTCTGATCAGAGAGAGGGACATGAAAAAAGACAGCATGCAGATAAATGTAATTAAAATTGATATAGCCATTGGGATATGAGAGCTGGGTTCTACAACAGATGACTGGAGAGGACATTTTGAAGAGTTTTACCAAACTAAACTGCATGCTGGCCTGTGATATTAGGTGGTTATATAGACCATGGCCACACAGGTCACGGGTTTCTGTGTTTCTGGAGTGATTCTGAAGTGTTTCTTGTATTAACGGGGCTCAGGCTAAAGACCTGATCTCCATGAGCACTCCCTCAGGTGGCTGAACTTGAGAGGTGGGAAAGAGCCCACAAGGAAGCCTGGGTGGCTTTTTGCAAATATGGAGTAGTAACCTTAAATGCCATCGGCGTAGTAATGCTTCCATATGCAAGGGACCACATACCCGCAAGAACACAGCTGCCCTTGCTAGTGAAGCCAGTTCTTCCATAGCATAGAGAGAAGTTGATAAAATATAAAGCTTGGAACAATTTTTTTTACTTCCCAGGATTTTGTTATAAGTGCTAAATATGCTTCTCTTCAGAGTTCTAGGATACTTTGTAGGGAAAGCAAGTTTCCTGCCTCTTTGTCGTGAGATTCATGTGTTAGGAATAGAGTGTAATGGTTAAGAGTGGGCAAAGGAGTGAGTAAACGAATTTGACTTTGTTTTCAGTCTGCAGTAGTTTGGATCACAAGGGTTCCTCAAAGATCTCATTAGTAAAGGTTTGCTCCCTGGTGTGATGCTTTAGGAAGGTGGAACCTTTAACAGGTGGGGCCTACTGGAAGGTCTTTAGGTCATTTTGGGCATTCCATCAAAGAATATAGTGGGCCCCAGTTCCCCACCCTTCCCTCTTTTGCTCCTGGGCCACGAGGTGAGCAGTTTCACTGAGCCCTGCATGCCTTCTATGACGCATGCCTCAACACAGGCCCAAAAGCAGTGGGGCCAACCAGTCATAGACTGGAATCTCCAAAACTGTAAGCCAAAAMAAACCTTTTCTCTTTACAAACTGAGTATCTTATGTATTTGTTATAGTGGTGGAAAGCTGACTGGCACTTGCTGTGCAGCATTAACCAAGTTAATTCATCTTATTAGCGTCAGTTTCCTTATGTATAAAATGAGAATATAAAATAGCACCTAATTTAGAGGATTATTGTCAGGTTTAATCTTGAGAATAGAAGTGAAATTCTTACTGAAGGGCTGGAAAATATTAAATGCTTAAGAGATTACCCCTACCTGGTTTTCTTTCTTCATGGTGTTTATCATTGTTTGACATCATCTTGTCTATCTTGCTTGTTTCTTGACTGTCTCTCCTACTCGGAGACCATGTATGTCTGTCTTCTTCACTTGTGTCCTCTGAGGGGAATGGTACCTGCAATAGGTGCTTGGCAATTATTTGTCTCAAATAAATAATGCCTGCT